GGCAGGATATTCTTAGTGCGGGTGATGCCCTGGTGTTGAAACTCCACTCCCCAGGAGTCATGTCTCATTCCAGCTATCTCCTCCTCTGGATGAACCCAAAGTGGGAAGGAACACATCACAAAGAGGTGGCCCAATCAACCAGTGAGAGGGTTTTCTGCTGCAGTCACTGATTTGAACTCTGCCATCTGCCCTGATCCTTCTAAATCTGGGCTGGGAAACTTGTGGCTCTCCAGATGTTGCTGGACTACAACTCCCATCATCCATTGCCATTTGCCATGCTGACTGGGGGCTGAAAGGAGTTGTAGTCCAATAACAGAGGTTCCTCAGCCCTTCCCTAGATTCTAGTGCACTTTGTTAACTTGTGACGGGGCTGGCCCCACCACTTTGCAGGCTGAGACAGATGCTGGCAGCAGCCCCAGCCAGCCCCATGCCCCTGCAGTCCCTAAGTTACTCTGCCCTGTGCTCCCTAAATAGCCCACAGAAACACTTCCTTCCTAAGCTGTCCTCAGGTGCAGTAGAGAGTTTCCCACCAGTGGTGTTGATATAAGATTTAACAGCTAGTTCAGTTGACTTCTCTATAAGAAGTGGAGGGGAAGGTGCCATCTTGTCCTTTGCTTTGCTTCAGGTAGCAAAATGTCTTGGGCCAGCCCAGTATAATGTGGGCGGGGGAAGTTTCTGGGCTGTATGCATCCTTTAACCACATATATGCTGTTGCGTGCATTCTCTTATGAGGTTGCGATTATCCCCGCTTAAAAAATGAAGCAACTCTGAATGTGCACACATAATTGGATCACCTCCATACTTTTTAGTATTAACCCACCCACCCCAAATTTGTGGGCATTTTGTTTTTAAGACTAAGCTTTTAGCACATACCTGTTTCATTTAGTATTGCAGTGTTCCTGGTATGTGGATTAGTGGTATGTGGAGGGGAGCGGGTGGCACTGTGGTCTAATCCACCAATCCTCTTGGGCTTGCTGATCAGAAGGTTGGTGGTTCGAATCCATGTGACGGTAGTGAGCTCCCGTTGCTCTGTCCCTGCTTCTGCCAACCTAGCAGTTCAAAAGCACACCAGTGCAAGTACATAAATAGGTACCGCTGTGGCAGGAAGGTAAGCAGCGTTTCTGTGCACTCTGGCACTCATCACAATGTCCCGTTGTGCCAGAAGCGGTTTAGTCATGCTGGCCACATGACCTGGAAAGCTGTCTGCAGACAAACGCTGGGTCCCTCGGCCTGAAAAGCGAGATGAACGCCACACCCTATAGTCTCCTTTGACTGGACTTTATCGTCCTGGGGTCCTTTACCTTACCTTTACCTATGTGGGTTAGTGCTCTCCTAAAGGTATCTGTGGCTTTGGTGCTCATTTCCAATGCCTTTCACAGGCACGTAGGTGAGGGATTGTGGGATGTGCATCACCTCCCCCAAACCTCTCTGAAAAGGGATGTTTTTGTTGCCTGGATGTTTTAAAGCCCAGCTGCCTTTGTACATGTTAGAGTGAAGCTGGGAATGGCAAGACATTCTGCCTGGCGCTTCTTAGTCAGCCCACACCCGCCCACGCAAAAAGAGAGACAATAAGCCTCTCTACGTCAGCTGCTAGAAAGCAGCGTTGCTGAAGGCCAATTGTTGCTCCCATAAGCAACCTGTGGAGATCTGAATTGCCATGCCTACCCTTTTAGCAGAGATTTCATACCTCCTGCCCTGCTTTTGACAAAGCCCCTAGCAAATCCCTTCTTCTCTACACCCCGTTGGAAAGAGCGTGTGTCTGCATTCATGCCCTCTGCCCCGTGATGTTTGTTCCTCCTTGTTCTGGTACGCATCAGGATTGCAGTGTGATGGTTGACGGTGGCTACTTCAGCAAGGATGGTAGTCTTTCTTTCTTATAACACTGTGTGCCACAATGCGATTTGCAGGGATCCAAGAGAAAGAAAAGGTATTTAAGTTGCAAGAAGAGTTACTAGCAACCCTGGCTCTTCCAGTCCGGGATGCAGTGGGGCAGTGTTAGAAACAGAGATATGAAAGCTAGGAGCTAAATGGCACCTTAAACCTAAGTTATAGGCACAACAACGGAATGTCTAGGTGCACTTTTTTTATAGCAGGAATACAAAGCTGAAAATGAATGAATGAACCGCAGCTGAAATCCTGATGATTGCAAAAAACAAAGCCATGCTTCCCCTGCCCACCCCCCTAATATTCTTAAGAGGGTCTCTTCTCCAGTCTTCAGAGAGTGGCTGGAAGTGGGGGGGGGGAGCACTGGAGCTTTAACCTGAAATTTTAGGCACAGCACTGCGCCCAGAGCTCAGAAACTGCCTGTGCTAATGAAATTCCTTGTCGTAAAACGCGCCTAGAACAATGGGAGTTTCGAACGCTGCAGTGGTGGGAAGTGGGGTAGAAGTTTAACCAGTGCTATTTTTCTAGAAAAAGAGGTGACGGAACTCACCATGAACACCTCAGTTGTTCTCTTAGAATGGCAATGACGCCCACCTGAGAGGTGCCAGAACTGAGTTTAAGCTGGAAAAAAAGCCCTGAGTTTAACTCTTTCTACTCTTGTTAACTGGGCATAGCTTACAAGGAACCTGCAGAGACAAAGCAAGACAGGTGAAGAGGAGAAACTCACATTTAATAAAACAAACCCTCACCCACCCCAACAGCCTGCAGGACATGAGATTTTAACTCTTAGACCAGGCTTCCTCAACCTCCAGATGTTTTGAGACTACAATTCCCATCATCCCTGCCCACTGGTCCTGCTAGCGAGGGATCATGGGAGTTGTAGGCCAAAAACATCTGGAGGGCTGAGGTTGACTGGTGAATAAAGCGATCTTGGAATTGTGGAGGATGGTAGCTTAATGAAAAGGTTAATGCAGTGTGGGACAGCTGTGAAAAGAATAAATTTCATGTTGAGGATCATTAAGAAAGGGTTTGAAAATAAAACAGCCAATATTTCATTACCTTTGTACAATTTTATGATACAATCACACCTGTTGTACTGAGTACAGTTCTGGCTACTGTGCCTCAAAAAGATATTGTGGAACTGGAAAAGGATGGTGGGTGTTTTTTTTGGGGGGGGGGGTTTAAGGGCAATCTAAATAACCAGCAGGCTGAGACCACTCTTCTTTAAGGAATGGTTACAGCATTGGCGGCTCTTTAGTTTATATAGAAAGGTGACAAGGCGGGATCTGCAGATGGAGAGAAGTTTTTCTTCCTCATACAGTGGTACCTCGGGTTAAGTACTTAATTCGTTCTGGAGGTCCGTACTTAACCTGAAACTGTTCTTAACCTGAAGCACCACTTTAACTAATGGGGCCTCCTGCTGCTGCCGCACCGCCGGATCCTGATTTCTGTTCTCATCCTGAAGCAAAGTTCTTAACCTGAAACACTATTTCTGGGTTAGCGGAGTCTGTAACCTGAAGTGTTTGTAACCCGAGGTACCACTGTAATTCCAAAACCCAGTGATGCTGAAAGGTTCAAGGCAGAAATAAGAGATTCTTCATCATGCAGCACATACTAAAACTATGGGATTCAATACCTCAAGATGTAGTGATACCAATCATCTTGGACAACATTCAAAGGGGGATCAGAGAGCAAGGGTTTTCAACCTTTTTGGGTCCGTGGCTCCCTTGACCAACTGCATTCTTTCTATGGCACCCCTGTGGGGCTCAGGTTATGTCACCCCTTGCCTCCAGAGCTGGCAGCCCCTCACCCATCCCATGTGGAGTGTGCCCTCAACCTCCTCTCCTCTCCCCTCTCCTTGGGAGTCCTCTGGATAGCCGCACCTGCCACCCCTGGTCTCTGAGCTGCCCCCCCCCGCCCCAAAGAGAGGTGCCTCCTCACACTGCCCCACAGGGGCCTGGGAAGCACCCCCGCCCCAGAGGCACCATTCACCTGGGGAGCTTGTAGCCAGGGCTGCTGCAGCAAACAGCTGTGCAGGCATTCAGGAGGCAGAGACACAAGAGGACATCAGAGAAGGGAAGGCAGGAAATAGGGACAGAGACCAGTGTTGCCCACAGCACCCCTGACCATTCAAGGCACCCCAGGGTGCCCCAGCACACTGGTTGAAAAGCACTGACATAGAGGATAAAGCTCTCAGCGGCTACTCATCTTGTTATCTAGTGTCACAGATAGGACTTGGATAAGTGTTGCCACATTCACATCCTGCTTGTTTGTGGGCTTCCCATGCACATCTGGTTGGCTGCTGTAAGAACAGAACGCTGGGCTAGATGGGCCTTTGGTCTCTCCCAGAGGGGCTCTTTTTTATGTGCTTAGGACTGTAGCAATAACATTGCTAGCAGGGAAGGAGGAAGGGCCTTGGCTTTGGGGAGGGCAGTGCAAACATTCTGTATCAATTGCTAATCAGTCTGGGTGCTACTTCTGGGGGGTGCCAGACTCTGTGATGCTGCAAAAGAGAAACTCTGCATCTCTGCAATAGATGGAGGATTAAGTTGTGAAGTCACAGGCAGAACAGTGCCAGGACCCTGCCATGGGGAGCTTGCCATCTAATTAGTTAATGTTTGCTTGGTGCTTTGCTGATGTATCATGCAGCAGTTGTACTAGGCTTTACTGTTAAAGTACAGTGCATACACAGGAGGTTATTAATAAACAAAACCAACAAACGGGGAGGAGGGGCTTCTAAGAGGCTAGGGACAGATGGCCGTCCTCTATAGTCCTGCCTAGTGGCTGCTGTTGAAAAGTTTTGGGCAGAAGTCCAACAAAGCACCTGAAGGCACCACAACATCCTTGGGCACATCCCATGGTGATTGTCAAGGTCCCCTGTCCCTTCCAATTGTTTATTTTTGCAATTGACTTGTTGTTGTTGTTTGGGGGGGTGCCTGCTTGTTTCTCCCTCTGTGTTGCATTTATTTTGGGTTCTGTGTCAGCGTTTTCCCATCTGGGGACTCGTGTTTCTGACCATCGCCAGTTTTTCTTCTGCAAAATGAATGTTTCGTTTTGCCCAGCCCATGAGATTTTCTTTGAGGGGCATCTCGTCCAACCCCTGCAATGCAGGAATATACAGCTGTCCCTTACAGGGATTGAACCTGCAACCTTGACTTTATCAGTACCACGCTCTAGCCAACTGAGCTATCCAGCTGCTTTTAAACACTAAAGTGGAGTGAGGAACTTTTGGCCTGTGGCCTGATTAACCCACAAGGCCTTGGAGGTTGGCCGGTTGGGCTGTTCTGGGCAGATCATGCCTGGCTTTCCCCTGCTCCTGATTCTTCCTCTCAGTGTGTTCCCAATTATTTCTTTTCTTTGAATGAAAAGCTCACCAGCATTCTGATGCAAAGGAGCACACTTAGAGTGAATTCAAACTGGCATCCTTGGTGTAAATGCAGCAAATGTACCTGCTGTTGTGAAGTGTGAATCAGCCTCTAATTTGAGCCTTAGAGACTGCATTCTCTTAAGTCCTGGCCAAAGAAAAGAGGCGGAAGCATTTTGACTCTTTAAAATCAAAGGCTCGTGAACTTTCCTCCTGTTGGGATAGGTGAGCAGGAACAAACAGTCTTGTTTACTCTGGGATGGCGGTGCTCACAGCTCCATAGAGAAAGGCAGCAGCCCATGAATGATGACCCAAGTTACTCAAGAAAGGTGTGAGGTTTGCATTGACAAGGATAATTATTCCAAGGAGGCAACCGGGAAATAATATCTGAATCAGGATTGGGTGAGCAATCCTAGGTGTGCCTTGGAGGAAAGATTGGGACCACATCATGTAGTCTTTAATAGGCAGCCGATTAAATTCATTGTGTAATCACTGTATTCATCCCTAGCTTGATGAATGAGATGCTTGTGCTAAACAACATGATGCCACACTGTTATTATGCAAATCTGATTTGACCATGTACAGTTGTGGTTGCCATACCTCAAAAAGGACACGGTAAAGCTGAGGAAGGATCAGGAAAGGGCCCCTCAAATGGTCAAGGGTCCGGAGCAAGCTTCGATAGAGGTGTGGAAGATGGTGCAGAGAAAACAGATAGAAAAAGGTTTTTCTTCCTCATAACACTAGAACTCAGGGCCATCCAGTGAAGTTGAGTGATGGAATATGCATGACAGACCAAAGGAAACAGTGCATTGTTTAATTGTGGAATTTAGCCACCAATGTAGATTGCTTTAAAAGGCTGTTAGACATATTCATTGAGGTTATAAGGCTATTTTGTGCCTCCACTCCCTGAGACAGTACACCTCTATATACCAGTTGTTTGGGGTCACAAGTGGGGAGAGTGTTGCTGTGCTCAGGTCCTGCTTGCAGGCTTCTTATGGGCATCTGGTTGACCATTTTGAGACCAGGATGGACTAGATGGGCCTTTGGTCTAATGCAGGGTTTCCCAAACTTGTGTCTCCAGCTGTTTTTGGACTACAACTCCCACCATCCCTAGCTAGCAGTACCACTGATCAGGGATGGTGGGAATTGTAGTCTAAAAACAGCTGGAGACCCAAGTTTGGGAAACCCTGGTCTAATCCAACAGGACAGCTCTTATGCTTTGTACTACAGTTCCCATCTGCACCAGCCAGCATGGCCAGTGGTCAGGGACGGTGAGAGATGTAGCCGAAAATGTTTGGAAGACATCAGGTTGGGGAAGGCGGTACTAAACTGAGATCAGAAACCAGGTGGATTTCACCACCTGGCTTCTATCTCTCCCCTCTTATTTGCTATATGAAAGGTAATAATTTGCAGGCCTTTTCTCTGAAGAATCCGAATAGGCTAGATGCAGCACAGCAGGACAAATGCCTGCCAGGTTTTTGGACTGGTAATACATCTCTGGTTGTGACACTTGACGGTCCCTGGGGGCAGAGGCACCAGGCAACTTATAAGGCCCACCTCTGCGCCCCCCCCCCCCCGCTTGCAAATTGTGACCTAGCTGTAGCCGACAGCCTTCCCACTCCAGGAATAACTGAACGGCAAGTGCTGAATCAGATGAAATTGATGAATTACTGCAGTGACAGGGGGATGGAGGGGTGGGGGAACTCTGTGTGTATGTGCCTGGCGTGTCTGTGTGTGCAGGAGTCCTCCCACACACTCCCCGGCTGATTCTAAGTGCCGGGAGCTGTGCTCCAGCTAAGAGCGTGGTGTCTAAATGGCAAAGCCGGGAGAGAACTGTTCTCCGATGGCAGAAGCCCATCTGAAGTGACGGAGGATGCTGATTCTTCTCCGGGGGTTTCTTTTGGGGGTCTCTGCTTCCTGGAGCAGGGTTGCGCTGCGTTGTTAATTAGAAACCCTCTTCTGGCAGCTGAGCTTGACCCATCCTACCTCTTTCCTCCGCCAACCAACGCAGGGTTTGTTTCCAGTGCCCTAAAAGGCAAGGACTGGGGAAGGATGCCAATTCTTCATGCATCATAAGCTGCGTATACAACTGTAGAGGCCTCAGATGTACTGACAGCAGCTTCCCTCTTGTGTCTCCAGGGGGCTTAGGGCACAGCTGCCGCTGCCGCCACCGCCGCCGCTTCATAGCAAGAATCCAGACTCCAAGGCTGATTCTGGGAACTTCGTCAGGACCAACTGAGAGACAAAGCCTTGTGCGAACCAGGATCCAAGCATTCCCTTTTCCCCACCCGGTTAATCCCAGTGGCATTGTTATCTGTGTCTAAGCCTGTCTGGCAGTTTTCCCCAGGTATGTAGCAATTTTAATAAGCTTTTCTTTTTCGTGAGTGAGGTTTAAGCTTCCGAGTGCCTAGCCATCTCTTAAAACTCAGTTGTTTTGTCTATATTGAAGTCTCACGTCTAGTTTGGCTCCGGGTGTTTCACGCAGTTTAGACAACTGAGGATTTTGATGCGCCTTTCAGCCTTGTAATGAGGCAGTGCCAATCTTTTGACGTGGGCACCCATTACATTGAGAAGCTGACACACTCCACCCTTATCCAAAGCTGGCTTACGCGAAGTCAGACCACTGACCCATCTTAGCTTAAAAAGTGCCTAGGCTGATTGGCAGGAGTTCTCCAGACAAGGGCCCTTGCTAGCCTTACCTGGGAATGACTGGGATTGTACCTGTCGCCTTCTAATGCAAAGCATGAGTTCTACCACTGGGTTACGGCCTTTCCCCCCTAATGATGGTGCATGGAGTGAGGTGCATGGGAGCTTAATGGTGGAGAAGCTGCTTCCCGGAGAATTTTGGGCTTGGCAGGGGAATGTATTTTGGACTGTGTTTTTTTTATTTCCCTTGTAATTTAGTTTTATGATTTGGTGTGTTTTCTGGTTTCATGTGTGGTCAGGCGCTTCAAGTCCACCTCAGTGGGGAAAGAGCAAATTGCAACTCGTAAAAAATAAAATGTGTGTTCTCTGGAAAGAGCTGATGATTTTCGTGCTTAGGAGAACGTATACTAATCCTACAGAGTGAGTCTCAAATATACAAGTGTCGAGTTGTTGCTGTTTTAAAACGCTGATTAGTTGTTAAAAGGTACCCAAAGTTAAGAGAATTTGTAAATTATGCTTTTTGGGGGGCGGGCCTGTAAACATAGTGTTGTTGCTCTTTCATTTGAAAATTACCATGTTTTAGTGGTGGAAAGGGCTGCTGCCAGTTAGTGTGTAGTGAGGTAGGAGGAGCAATCTTCTGGTTCAAAGGCAGCTTATTATTCATTTATTTATAGAATTTGATAGTCACTTTATCTTGCCCAAGGCAAACCAAAGCAACTTACAACCAAGCGGACAATTTGGTTGCTCCAAGTCACAGGCATGGCCAAACTTGGCCCTCCACCTGTTTTGGGACTACAACTCCCATCATCCCTAGCTAACAGGACCAATGGTCAGAGATGATGGAAATTGTAGTCCCAAAACAGCTGGAGGACCAGGTTTGGCCATGCCTGCTCCAAGAGGAGCTGTCTTGATCCTTTCAGTTCTGAAGAAAAATAGCCCACTGCTTTCCTATACTAAAGGAACCTCCTTCCTCCTCCAAAATAAAAATAAAAATGGGAGGCCCCCATGCAAAGGAAGGAGCTCACAGAGAGGCAACTAGCTGAGGACTCCCTCAGTCCTGGAGTCGGCCTAATGGAGTGTAGTCTAGGCGCTCCCTGAAGAACACAGCTCTTGCTAGATGAGTCCAAATCTCCATTTAGTCCAGCATTAAAGCTTCCAGCGAGGGCCAGGCAAACGCCTCTGTAAATGGACAAGCAAACAAAGAAGGTGTTGGTGTCCTCATGGCTATTCCTCAGAAGGAGCTGGATTTGAGCACCTAGAATGCTGAAGGCCAAAATACAGGCTTGCATGGGGTTGGGAGTTACCAAGGGAAGTTCTACGACTTCTTAACTCTAAAAACATTTCAGAATGGCAGGAAAACATTTGCAGGTTGTGATATATCATGGGTCACCAATGCAGGAGCTGGATTTGCACCTGCACCTGTAGAAACCCCCCCCCCCGGCTCCCATAGAGTCCCATTCCTGCCTCTCCTCCCCCACTGCCCCAGTCAGTCCCCTGCTGAAATTAGAAATTGAGAAGGTAAAGTCTTGTTTGCTCAGCTGTACTTTTGAGGAAGCTCACCTGCCCCCTTGAGCCGGAAAAAAGAGAAATGCCAAGCCTAAATGCTGGTAGGGAGGAGGGAAAGAGAGTGCGCATGTGTGTGCATAGTTGCAGGGCAAGTGTGTGTGTGGCTCTGGTAGATCTGTGATACCACGGAAGTTGTCCCATTTTGCAAATGTGTCCATGGCCTGAAAAAGTGGACGATCCTTGTGGGTGCAAATTCTCTTCCCTGGGGTAATGGACCAGAGGCTCTTTAAAGTTATCCTTTCAGCCCAGCTTCCCCTGCGATTGCACCCACGTGGATCTCCAGTAATCATGCTCTAATTAAATGAAAATGGGCAGTTGCAGTTTGAGCAGTAGGGTTTTTTAAATTGTTCATTACTATTATATGGATGCTAACTACAGCTGCTGAGCTCATTTACGTCCCACATAAACAATTAGGACTAATTGACTGCTAATTATTCCAAGAGAAATGTATAGCCTGGTGAATATCACTTAGTTCCTAGCCAACTACTTTTTTTTAATTAAAAAAAATCAAGCTCTAAATACAAACTTGCACAGGAAAGTAAAGGGGTCCTGTGTCTTGTGTGTACACATAGTCACACATAGTGTGGTGTAGTGGTTGGGACAAGGGAGACCTGAGTTCAAA